ATCAACTTCACAACATCATAATAATTCTGTCACATTTTCAGTTCCATTGGCTGCTTCCCATAATAAACTTTGCCTGCTGACCAGTTTTCCTATAATAGTTGTAACATATTGTTCATGTTTACAGATTCCTATAGGACACAATCAACATGCATTTCTCATGAAGTTATGATGTGTTTGAATGCAACTGCCGAATGAAAAAGTGTAAGTAGATTGCAGCCGGCATATCCATCATGGAGTTGTATGTTTTCTAACATCAGTAAGATGTATTGATTTTTGTACTGCACATACTCAGATTTATGGCTATGTGAAAACAACTAACGGCTTTATGAGTATAACATTTACAGTACGCAGGTGATTGATGCTTGTACTGAAAACCAGGGGCTATTTTCCATCACATCTAAACTTTGCCTTGACCACACACACACGTCTGTCACCAGTTCAGAGAGCATTCGAATGCGGTCGACTAGATATATAAATGGTCATAAATGCTTCCCTGGACAGAATGTTGAAAAAGCATTTAACCCCAGAATGGATGATCCTGGACCTCCCCGGATTTAGCCACATTAAAAAGACACTTGAGCATCCTGATATAAATATTGGGTGATTTGTCTGCTTTTTTTTGTCCTATCGTGACATTTTAAAGTGACATTTTGTAAACTTCAGACAGCGTGAATACAATCAATATGAGATGAGTTAGGCCTGTGTTTCCAAGAGGCTTTTTGTAATTTAAGAGTCTGTGTACAAACATCTGATGATTGAAAAGCAAGTACTCGATTATACTCACACACAGATGATTGGATCTTACTAGCTTGTAAATACAGAGCGGCATGGGCCAAATGTGTAACATTTACTGTGTGCCCCTCATCTCTCTCTCTCTCTCTCTCTCTCTCTCTCTCTCTCTCTCTCTCTCTCTCTCTCTCTTTCTCTTTCTCTCTTTGCATTTCATTTTTTTCCTCTTTTTCTTTGAGATCACAATACACACAGAGGAAAGTGTGTATTGACACCACATTGGGTCTACAACGCACTAAATGTCCCCTTTTTTTTCCGGTGGAAACAATGAAATCCCCTCAGAGCTACTAATGCCCACGGGTCTCAACACATACACCCTTGTTATGTCTTCTTCCCAGGGCAGGGAGTTATACATTATGGTATCTCCCTAATCCGCCAACCAGCTGCAACTGGAAATGAATTAATAACAAATAAAATGCACCCAGTACATAAAAATGTGTAGATTGCCCTGGGGCACCTAAACAGGAAACCGTGAAACAATTAGACTTCTTGTTTTGTTCTGACCTCTGTTTTGTTTTGTTCTACTTAGCTGCTGAATAGAAGGAGCTGGAGATGGAGACTGTTGTTTTTCTCTGTCTGTAATCACCACGGTTAAGCCTCCCTGGTCATAGCAGGGGTCAAATCTGTGTGAACACCCACTTTTCATCCTACAGTGAAATTAAATACAGTGTTACAGTCGAGCTCTATGAATGCTGCAATTCTCCGCTGACTGCAACCCACACCAAGCGCTGCGGTTAGCCACCCAGGCCTATATGGTGCACGCATGTGATAACAGGCAGCGATATGGCGTCCTAATTGCTGGCCTGAGTGCTATTGGAGGGAGTTTTCAGCAGGTTTTCTTTTTCACTTTCGCTCCAATTGATGTCTTTGAAGTTGGTCTTTTATCTTGCCGTTGCTCCTGATGGCTGTTGTCTTTGGTGCAGTGCTGTGTGTGCGCCCCTGCTCTTTGAGCACTCCTAACATGTAACAAAGGCAAGCCCTTTGAGAGAGAGAAGAAGAAGAGAAAGGGAGCTTTCTCACTATACTTTCTCACATAGATCCGTACACGCACAAGCGTGGATACACACAGTGTATACAATCACATTTAGCCACAGCCCTTCACATGCAGAAAAAGTGCCTCGGCTGTCAGTTAAAAACTCTGTGTGATTGTTAAACGTGCCCTAATTTGATAAAGGGCCAAGTGCGGGAAATGAGAGAGTGTATTTGTCTCCGGGGTTGTAGTGAGGGTAAATATAGCAACAAGACAGCACCAGTTGATATGAAGGATTCCATGGTGTGGAGTGCTGTTGTGACTCACCAGGCTATGAAGATCTGTGTGTGTGTGTGTGTGTGTGTGTGTGTGTGTGTGTGTGTGTGTGTGTGTGTGTGTGTGTGTGTGTGTGTGTGTGTGTGTGTTTAAACATTTGGATTTATATGTCCAATGTTGCTTTCATTCATTTGATGAACTTGAATAGAATTGGCCCACTCTCGACTCCTCCAAAACGGTGTACAATAATCCATTACAACAGAGAGAGAGAGAGAGGGAGTTTGTTTGAGTTGAGGAAGGAGGGAGAGACCAGAGGAAAGCACGGAGCGGGGCGAGAGGGAAAGACAGTGAGGAAGAAGCCAGAGCGAGGGAGCCTGCATGGTCGGCTCCCGGCTGGCTGCGTGGGTGTGTGTGTGAGTGTGTGTGTGTGTGTCTTCAAGAGTGTGTTGAGAGGAGAGAGAGAGCGCTGGTCGTCTCCATGTCTAATCAGGAGAACACTTGTGTGTCCCCGTCTCATTGTCTCCTGGGCCCCTCAGGGCGGAGGCCCGCCGCTCCGCCGCTGCACCTCAGGACATGCTGATAGCTGGCGGTCCGAGCCACAAGGGCAGGATTTAAGACATTAAAATTGTAGTCATGAAGAAGTGCACAAAAATGTTTAAAACTCTGTTGTGTAAATTGCAAAAAAATTGAGACGGTAGTAAAGGCACAGACTCTGTTCGAGGTGAGTTCTTCAGGATACACTGCATTATGGAAATTTAATTATCCCTTCATAAAATCACTGTTTTCATTATTTCACCATACAGGAATGTCCTTGTGGTGTACTCAATAATAGTGACACTTGTAGTTTATGGCATTTTAGTCAATCTAATACTTCTATAATGATAGTATATGAGATTAGAAAATAATTCCTCAACCTTTAAATCACATTTTTTAATTCCAAAGGGGGATTTGTCATGTCTTGAAACAAAATGAGACGCCTTAGACCCAATTGTTCTCTATGAAACAACTGAATAATAACGTCTGAACAATGTAATTAATGGGACATAACCACTCTGATGAACTTGACCTCATTCTGCGGTCTAAACACAGCCGGTCACACACCACTCCAGGACAGGCGCGCCCCCGACCCCGGTGTTTCTGCTCCTTCGCATAGCAGCGCACGCTCCCGGCTCAGCAGTTTCCCAGTTCCGTCTCCTCCATTACTGGCGAGGCTGTGAATCAATAATTCAATAGTTTTGGCGTCTAAATCCTGCCCCAAACGGCGAGATACACAAACACTCCAGACTCTAGTGCAGACTCTGTGAGATCAGTATTAATTAATAGCTAAAGACATTGTGTTTTGTGTGGAAATATCGGAAGGGGTAATGCGATCCGGATTCCTATAATTATAGGATCCCGTGTCAGGTGTTTATTAAATGTTCAATAGGAGGCGGTTAAGATGTCAGGAAATGAATCAGGCAAATTTGTAAGTCAAGTGAGGCAGGCGTTAGTAAATGATTTTTACAAAGGCCTTGGCTTTGTTTAGCTTTCTGTGCTGCCTTTATATTTTTATGCATAATGCCAAACTTTAGGTCATGACACATAAACTGGCAACATTTTAATACAGCGAAGATGGGCAGGAGGCAGATTTAAGACGGATCATGGGGATTCACAACATCGAGATCGAATACCTTTTATTATGTTGTGTAAAAATAACAAAGTTATATATCTGTATCTCTCAGAGAGAAAGAGAAATACGTGCAAATCTGATAAACACACTAAAACACACAAACACACTGCGGGTATAATTAAATTGAAATGGATCTTTGTTTTATATAATTAATAGGCTGTTGGGGCTAGTTTATCTAGGCTAATTATTGCAAGAATAACATAGTATTAAAATATATTATGTACATGTCAAGTGCTGCAAAACTTTATCTTTGAGCCATTAAACGGCCTCTTTCTCTTCATCCTTTATCTGCCAGTTTTTCTAGCTTGTACTGGAAATTGCCAGTCCTCCTCTCCAAACGCTCCATAACCAAATTATGAATAATGCATCGGTTTGGCATGGGAGCAGCAACAGACAGCCATGTCCTGACTAAACGGGCCTGTCACAACTGTGACGTTATCAAACGACCTATAGCTACAGGCATGAATTATTAAAAATATATTGCCCTCAAAGGTTTACCGTTAGCAATAATAATAACAATAATAATAATTTGGCCAAAGGCCAATTAAGAATGTAAAGAACAATGTCAACTCATTAAAGAAACTTTAGTTAATTTATTATAGGAACGAAAAACATTTTTGTTTAGGTGGATTCACGTTTCACATGTGATGGAAAAAGTAAAACAATTTCATGAGTATTCTCTTTTCTTTTTTTTTAAGAAACCCGTGCCTCAGGTAAGTTCACTTTCACTGATATAAAAACATCAAAATTACATACAGAAAGCACATGATTTTTTAATACACGGAAATAAAGTAAAATACAAAATGAACAAATTCCTCACAAGGCATAAAGCCACTAAATAATAAAAATAATGCATGTTTCTTGTGTATAAACATATTTTACACGTGCCCGTACCGGTTCGCATACAGTTCTCGTGTTACTGTCATTTATTCTTGTGTTCACTGTGTTAAGGATGACACATTTACCCCCCTATGGACACTATAGATCGGGTTATCCTGACCAAAAAAGTTCAGCATAGCCTATGACACATATATTATAATCTCACATTTCTGGTGCGTCGCCTATAGTTCCACCTTTACCAGAGGAGGTCCAAACAAGGTCAAATACAGGCCAAACATTCAAGTGAGAGTTTCCCTTCCTTAGGGAGGGGAGGAAGAGAGGGAGAAAGAGGGGGGGGGGGGGGGG